GACCAGAGTTAAAAACAGCACAGCACAGCAACAGGCACCACATCTCTGTGAGGACCAGAGTTAAAAACAGCACAGCACAGCAACAGGCACCACATCTCTGTGAGGACCAGAGCTAAAAACAGCACAGCACAGCAACAGGAGGCCTAAATGGTCTTTTTTTAAATAAATACATAACCAGTGTTTTTGGACTTCTGAGGAAAGCTGGTGAGATGCTGGTAATAGGGCATGTTAAAGTGTTACATGTTGCTGTGGGGCATTAACTTCAGAGAGGATATCAGCCAAAATGATTTAAATGTCAGTGAAGCTACAGCTCAAACAGCCTAAAGTGTCAGGTTTCACTGCATCACTATTAACCCACATCTGTTGTGCTTTCTAGCATTTTGTTGCAACGAGTAACATCTGGCAAGCACACACACGCACACAGACACACATACGCACACAGACACACACACGCACAGACACACACACACGCACGCACTGACAGAGACACATGCACACACAAACACAGGCACACACATGAACAAAGACACACACACGCAGGCACGCACATGTAGGGTAAACATGTCTTTATGGGGACCGCTCATTCATTTCAATGGGAAAAATGCTAACGCTAACTATGACAACCTTAACGCCTACCCTGCCCTAACCATAACCATAAGTAACCTAACAAAATACAAGAGTTTTTGCATTTTTAATTTTTTCATAGCAGTCACCAAGTTTCCTGGTCCCCATAAGGGAAAAAAAACAGATATTTATCACGTTATGGGGACATTGTGTCCCCATAAGGATAGGTAAACCCGCTCACACACACACGCACACACACAGGCACAGACACACACACACACACACACACACACACACAGTATTAGGGCATTTTGAGGCAAGGAAAAGCAGATTCATCCAGCCAGTAAACACTGCCTAGGCTTTCCAGGGCGTGCAAAGAGGGGAATATAGACTAGACTGGGCAGCTGAGGCATTAATCACTGGGAACATGCGAAGATACCACAAGTAACCATTCCTACAAATTATGGGGCAATTAATAACACCCCGATTTCCCTTTTAATTGATGACTACTCTATGGCTTGGGACGAGTCAGTAATGAAAGGTCCCAGCATCAGGATGCCAAACAGGACTGAACCATGTGACATACTGGACGTGATTTTCAGAAGAGAGGGGCGTCTGACATTCCGCTAATACACCAAGGGTCTCTCCCCTAGCTCCAGTTTTGCAGACACTGCCAGCAAGGGCACCGGAAACCATGTTTGAAACATAACAACATCAAACCATTTAAGACAACCCCCCTCCAGGGAGAAAGAGAGCATATTTAAGACTCCAGCCAGCTGAAAGGCTGTAGCCCAGCTTGTCACACGTCAGAAGGCCTCTCTCAGATAACCGAGATGACTTTTCCATGGCGCTTCAACTCATGAAACTCAAACAAGATGTAGGATTTCCAATCCATTGAAGATTCAACAGAGATGAAGCCTCTTCTAAGACAGACACAACAATTACACCATCTGGCTTGTAGTTATCAGAACCTACCCCAGCTCTACAGCAGCTAAGCTGCCAATGCTAAAGTCAACATTTAATGAGATTCCTTTCAAAATGTGACCAAGCAGAGAATGTGTCTGGAAAGGTTTATCTATAAGGCCCGTAAGTGCGACTTCGGAGGATGCTGGGAGACTTCCATTGAACTTGTGAAACATAACTACCATAAACAAGGTTGATGGATTCAGGAAAATATTTTGGCATGGGACTGGAGTTGAGAGTCCAGCAAAGGAAAGCGCACATGATAAAATCAGATCAAAGATGGTATGTGGTGGACTGATAGTAACTGCTTCCAAAATGAATGAGTGAGCAGGTTATTTTGAACCATTGCCACAGTCATATCATCCTGTCACCTTCAGACTTACTGCTGGGTTCAGGAGGTTTGAAGAAGAGTAATGCTACTCCCATTGGCTAACTAATAGGTGCAGCTGAACCTAACCATGTGCAACTGCACGGGACCTACAGTCATTCAGTCATCAGCAGCTGCATCTGCCGTGGTAATTATCACGCTGAATCCTTCTATGGATGATTAACATCCTCCATGATATTTCTCAGAAGTCTTTCATGTGTTTGCTTTTCCCCAACCTGTCATGAACACAGGAAACACTGTGCATGATTAAGAGACATTAATGAAAACAACAGCTATTAAAACCCAGTAAACTTCAGAGCGTTGCGTGCACTGTCACGGAAAAGCGCTCTGCGCCAGAGCCAGAATAGGAGCTGTAAGTAACTCATCCATAGGGCACCTGCTGAAGGGTCACGCGGTCAGCTACAACTCATGCCACGGTCAGCTTCAGTTTAAGTAAACGAGAGCCAGTTTTCCAACCGGAAAATGAATGTCGATTTAAGTGGTGACACTCCCCAGGGATGGAGAGAATCAGGTGGTTGTGATGACGAGTCAGCACAAAAGAACAGAAGTACTCAGAGATGGTTGTCAGAGAGACATAAGTGGCCACTCCTGTCCACATAAGGAGTTTTTTTCCACCAAGAAGTTGGAGCTGTTTTCCAAGGATCATATGGATCCTTGGAAGGATCATATGTTCATCATATGTCATCAACAGATTCTGTAACACCCTTTCAGTTATACGCAATACATGCAGTCTATTAAACTGTTTTTAATTAAGACAATTAAGACAATTATTGCCTTGGGAACAAACCACCAAAGAATATTCCTCTGAGGTTAGATACTGAAGTGCTGGTGTTTTTACAAGAGCAAATCACTTTAATCACTTAAATCTGGTCTTTCTCTATACCTGCTTTAGCACATGTCAACTTCCAGACTGTTTCCAATTTCACTGGTGGAAAAAAAATCTGCAACACAGAAACCTCGCACCCCAAAGTTACTCACTTTCCAGGCTCATTCTCTAACAAACTGAAAGCAACGCAGTACTGTGATACTGTGTGCTGGTTGGGTTTGTCTCTGGCCCATTGGGCAGCTCCATGCCCCATATTGCTTGATTCAGTGTATAGAGCAATCAGCTGACAGCAAACCCATGGGAAGAGATACATGCTGGTCATGAGTCATCCAGCTGAGAAGGGACAGGTGAGGAACAGGAGAAGGACAGGAGAGGAACAGGAGAGGGACAGGAGAGTGACAGGAGAGGAACAGGAGAGGAACATGAGAGGAACAGGAGAAGGACAGGAGAGGAAGAGGAAAGGGACAGGAGAGGGACAGAAGAGATACAAGAGAGGAACAGGAGAGAAAAAGGAGAGGGACAGGAAAGGAACAGAAGAAGGACAGGAGAGGAACAGAAGAAGGACAGGAGAGGAACAGGAGAGGAATAGGAGAGGGACAGGAGAGGAACAGAAGAAGGACAGGAGAGGAATAGGAGAGGGACAGGAAAGGAACAGAAGAAGGACAGGAGAGGAACAGAAGAAGGACAGGAG